CTCTTCCAGATTCTCTTCCATATTCTCTTCCATCTGTTTATATTCATCATCTTTCCCCCAATCCCTAAGCCTAAGCCTTTCAGACATTTTGATGACCTCATTTCTTTTAAAAACCCTTTCAACTATCGGAAATAAATCTCTATTTATCAAAAGTTAGCAAGTTGTTTTGCGATTGTTCAAAAAAACTTTCACAAATCTTGTCTCTATTTGTTTTATTCTCAAAGAGTAGGCGGTAGAAAATAACAGGAATTTCTTCTCAAAAAAACTGAATAACCAAGAAGTTTAGAGAAATCCAGAAATAGTTAGAGAAAAAGGGGGAAGTTGAGGAAGTTCCTTTGAGGAAGTTCTTTTGAGGATGTTCCCTAGATCAACGACAATTCAAAAAAGCTTTTTAAACTGGATGCTCAAGGTTGACGAATTCTAAACACTACAATTCTACAAGTTCGCTAAAAGTTCTCTAAAAGTTCTCTAAAAGTTTTCCAAAAATTTCCGAAATTCTGTCAACCTCTTGAAATTTTGATTTGAGCTTTTGAGCTTTTACCCCCCTTTTAACCGTCATTAACGTCATTAACCTTTACTTCCTTAATTTTGTGTTCTTGTTGGGAGTCAGTTGTCCCATTTTTTTCAATCACTTTCTGTTTCAGGGTTTCTGGGAACCTCTGGGATCTTTGTTAAGCCAAAATACACTCTCTTTCAGTTAGATTTTTTTCGTTAACAAGGGAAAAGACAACAGTAGGATCGAATCAAATGAGATAAGCCATACCATTCGATGCAGAATTTCACGCTGTTTCCGAAGCTGCTTTCCGTTTTTGCAAGAGCATTTTCTAGAAAAAGTTATACGGCGTTTTAAGTTTTACGGTGACGGCTTTTCTAGTTCGCGGCTTTTCTAATTTCTCTAGTAACGGCGAGTGAACGGGGAAAAGCCCAGTGCTGAATCCCTTGGCTTTTAGTCGCGGGGAAATGTAGCGTATAGGTGCGGCTATCCGGCGCCATCACTTACTCAAAGTCCCTTTGACTTGGGCCATAGATCAAAGAAGGTGCAAGTCCTGTAGTGGTGCCTCTGGGATGCCTTTAATCGGAACCAGGGATGCCTTTAATAACGTCTTAATAAAGCCTTTCTAAGGCCTTTATAAACCCTTTCTAAACCCTTTATAAAGCCTTTATAAACCCTTTATAAGGCTTGTTCTCAAGGAACACAAAGGTGACTTGATGGTAAAGTGGATAAAAGGCTTGCATACCAAACCGTCGGCTTTTCTTACTCGAGTTCGATTCCTTTGAATGAAATTTTTGTTTGATCTATAGCTTATTTCATTTGGCCCTACTGTTGCTTTTCTAGTGTTGGTTTTCGTTGAGATTTCGACTGTATTCAATCAAAAAATTGATTCAATCAAATCATTCAATCAATCAAAAGGTATTCAATGAAAAGCCTCAAATAGGTAGCCAGTAATTCACTTGAGTTGACAGCTAAAGGATTAGCCATTAGATAAATCAAAAGGTAATCAATCAAAAGCCTCAATTGGTTAGTAGATTAAAAAGTTTTCAAGAAAAGACTCTTATAAACTTCCTCGAAAACTTCTAAATGTTATTGAATGTTAAAAAATTGAATTTTAAATTGTTAAAACTCTTTTCTTAACACTTTAAATCATTCGAAAAACGAGGGATTTCGATTTTTCAAATTTTTAATTTCACCTGAATTAACCTAATCAATTTTACCTAGTCAGCGCTTTACCAAGTACCCATTTAGCCTATGAAAACTTGCCTTTAAAGCATTTTGTTTCAAAACGAGAAACCCACTAAAGTTTTAGATTGACTAAAAATTGGGATTTGGGAAATTTCAAGTAAAGAAATTCTTTTTGTTGATGGCTTAGCCAGTTGGCCCTTCTAGGCCGACCGTACCAGTTGCCATACTCGAAATTTGAATCCGTAAACAACCAATTGACTCTAGGTGAATGATCCAAGAATAGCTGAGCTGAGAATAGCTGAGCTGAGAATAGCTGAGCTGAGAATAGCTGAGCTGAGAATAGCTGAGCTGAGAATAGCTGAGAATATCACTTTCAAAAGTTCACCATTAAAGCAAATAAACCTGCTCGAGTTTCTGTTTGAATTTTTCAAAATCCAGCCACGCGTCTCTCGTTCAGACAAACGAATCGAATTTCCTCAAATAATAAGTGATTTCTTTTAATATCTTCTCTATTTATTAGGCTTTTTTTCTTTCATTTTCGACCCTTGGCCATTTTCTCGTATTTATTTTGTGCCTTTTAGATTCACACCTCGTTTTTCCTTTCCTTTTTTCCTTTCCTTTCCTTTTTCTTCTAGATAAATAGAGTCAAAATTTTCTTTGACTCACTGTGAAAAAGTTCTGATATATTTGCATAGAAATTTTTCTGGAAAAGCTTCTGAAAATAGAAATCAGTATAAATAGGTGATTTTTGAAGGGAAAAAGGGAATTTTCTTTGATAGTTTTTTGAGTTCATCGATTTGATTGTCAAAAAAAGTGAAAATTTCGAAAATTTCGAAAATTAAGTTCAATTTTTTGTAAAAAAAAAAAAAAAAAAAAAAAAAAAAAAAAAAAAAAAAAAAAAAAAAAAAAAAAAAAAAAAAAAAAAAAAAAAAAAAAAAAATTAATATATGAAAGAGAAGCTAAATTTTTGTTTATTTATCAACTTTAAATGGTTATGAAATGATTTTGAGTGTACTTTTTGCTTTAAAATTTGAATAGAACCTTTTTGAAGCATTGAATTTGAGAGCATTCTTTCATTTTCTTCCTTTTTTCATGAACAAAAGTGGTTGCTTTGATGGAAAACAATGAATAAAGTGCACCAGAAAGCTTGCGTTTCCCATTGCCAAGCTCAACGCACATAGAAATCCTTTCGTAAAACCCTAATCTACTTACTCAAACTCACTTTCCATTCCATAAAATCCATAAATTCAAAAAGATAGAGTCGGATTAAACGATGACTCACAATTTTATTTATAAACTTTAAATGGCTACTCACTTTACTCATCCAATTTCCCAGAACTTCTTTTTCTGACTTTATTCTCTTTTTTCTTATGTTTTTCTTATTGTTTCTTATTGTTTTCTGGCTAAAATCTTATTTAAAACTTATAAATGAAAGATGATGCATAAAGTTAGCAATCAGCAATGTTAAATCAGCTGGATTGATATCAGAGAGAGAGAGAAAAAAATAGTCTTTTCTTTTTCAAATCTTGATCTCCTTTGTTCTGCCGAAAAACTCCTCCCCTTTTGCCTAAAAAAGGGAAAAATTCAAAGCTGATAGCAAAATTATTAGCGAATATCGCATTGCTAATTGTTTGATTTGAAAAATGAAGTTGAGGGAGTTTTTCGAAAATTCAAACAAGCCATGGAAATATCGAGAGTTGGAGGGTTGGTTTTTCGATTGAAAAGATGAGAAGCTGGAGGATTTAGATGAACAGCTGAAGGATCTAGAAGACTATTCCATTAGTAGATTTAGATTTAGAATTGAAAAGATGAACAGCTGGAGGATCTAGAAGACTATTCTATTAGTAGATCTAGATTTAGATTCTATTAGTGGATTTAGATTTAGAATGGAAAAGATGAGCAGCTGAAGGATCTAGAAGACTATTCCATTCGTAGATCTAGATTTAGAATGGAAAAGATGAGCAGCTGGATGATCTAGAAGACTATTCCATTCGTAGATCTAGATTTAGAATGGAAAAGATGAGCAGCTGAATGATCTAGAAGACTATTCCATTAGTAGATCTAGTTTTAGAATGGAAAAGATGAGCAGCTGAATGATCTAGAAGACTATTCCATTCGTAGATCTAGATTTAGAATTGAAAAGATGAACAGCTGGAGGATTTAGAAGACTTCTATTAGTAGATTTAGTTTTAGAATTGAAAAGATGAACAGCTGGATGATCTAGAAGACTATTCTATTCGTAGATTTAGATTTAGAATTGAAAAGATGAACAGCTGTGGGGGATTTAGAAGCCTTTCTATTAGTGGATTTAGATTTAGAATTGAAAAGATGAATAGCTGAAGAATCTAGAAGACTTTTCCATTAGTAGATCTAGATTTTAAATTCAAATTTAAATCCTAAACCATCGAAAAACAAACAAAAGCCAAAAAAGACACGTCTCTTCTACGAAATCTCAGCTCTAATTTGAATTCTAAAGTTCATTGAAATGAATTTGAATTTGCATCAAATCAAATCAAATTTGCATCAAATCAAATCAAATTTCCATTCATAATCATATTCATAACATATTTATATTCATATCATATTCATATTCATAAAATTGAAACTCTAAATGTTCAATACTTTTCTCTAAACTCCTAGCTCTTTAAAGATCGGCTTGAAAAGCCAAAAAAAAGCTAAAAACGACACATCTCTTCTAAGGAAATCTCAGCTTTTATTTGTTCATTGAGTACTTTTTTGTTTCTTTTTGTTTACAAGAAAAAAAACTCTGAAAGTTTTCACGTAATCTTTTCAGTTCCTTAACTGTAAAGATTTGGAGAGTTTTGGGGGCAAATATACAAATATTTGAATGGTTTTTGAGTGGACGTTGACCCTATTTGAGCTCATTTAAACCCCAGAAATCTTACTTTTTCTATCAAATTTGATTATGACTCTAAAAACTCTTTAGAGCCAGCTCTAAATTCGACTCTTTAGAGCCATAAGCTCTAAATTCGACTCTTTTCATTAATTCTTAGAGCTCACGATGTACTTCTTCTGTGCTTAGCTTTTGGAAACATAGCCTGATTCAATGATTCAATGAATCAATGATTCACTGAATCAATGATTCAATGATTTCTGATTTCTGATTCACTGAAATTTGAAATGCTCTCCGTTTTGAACTTTCTAATGCACTGAAATCGGTAAATTGCCGTTTACAGAAAGAAAAAATAAAACATCAAGTGCACCAGAAATTGTTTGTTTTTGATTAGATTGATTGATTTTGATTAGAGCACAAAGTAAAGTTGAAATTCAACATTTTAGTAATATTCGATTTCTAGGCATGGTCAAAATTGCCACCGAGAATCATGACAGAAACAGTGACACGAGTTCTACGGGTGAGTTGAGAGTTGAGAAAGGATTTTGTGGAAGGATTTGAGGAAGGATTTTGGGGAGTGGGACAAATGCGAGCTTTTTTTTGCGCACCCGGACATTTGCGCACCTTTTTTTCCGCACCTTGCCCATTAGCGCACCTTTTTTCGCGTTTTAAAAACCTCTAAAAAGCTAATATTAACCAATTTCTATTCCAAAAGTTGTTTTATTTCTCTAGGTAATTTTAGGGCGTAGAATCGAAATTTTGACATATCAGAGCTTGTGGAAGCGAACGGACGGAGTTATACAAAGAGAAAGATCGACAATTTTCTGTAGTTTGATCTAGCCGTCTTTCAAATTGGTTCCACACGCTCTGATATGTCAAAATTTCGATTCTACGCCCTCAAATTAACCTAGAAAAGCAACTTTTGGAATAGAAATTGGTTAATATTAGCTTTTTTAGCTTTTTAGCTTTTTAGAGCTTTTTTAAAACGCGAAAAAGGTGCGCTAATGGGCAAGGTGCGGAAAAAAAGGTGCGCAAATGTCCGGGTGCGCACAAAAAAGGTCGCATTTGTCCCACTTCCAGGATTTTGTGAAAGGATTTTGTGGAAGGATTTTGTGGAAGGATTTCAAATCCAAATCTACATAAGATCTCTGAAAATGAAATAAAATCAACTTTAGATAAAGATCCCTCAAAGAAGCACAAAATTTTCCCGTCTTCTCGTTTTTTCACCGCCATTCTCTTGTGTTTATGCTTTGTCTCGCTTTCTGTTTCCACGTCGAATCTCGGCGTTTCGATGACGTGCATGGTGAAGTGAGTTCAAGAATTTGCTCAGAAAAGTCAGAAAAGAAAAGAGAATTTGGTCAGAAAAATAAATAAAGTATAATATGTCTATAATATATGCAATATTACAAAATTTTCATAAATTCTATTCTGAAGCTAGTGAAGAAGTCTTTTCAATTGTTTTCTTTCCTTTTCGATCATTTCGTTTCGTTAAAAATAACAAATTCACCAATTAATCTATGATTTTCTCTAAAGAAAACTGTTTATTATTGAATTTTCGATCTTTTTAAGCAATTTCTTTCCAATTTCCACTGTTTTTAAGCAATTTCTTTCCAATTTCCAATCTTTTAAAGCAATTTCCTTTCAACTTCCAATCATTTTAAGCAATTTCTTTCCAATTTCTGCTCTTTTTAAGCAATTTCTTTCCAAATTCCATTCATTTTAAGCAATTTCTTTCCAATTTCTGCTCTTTTTAAGCAATTTCTTTCCAATTTCCACTCTTTTTAAGTCAATTTCGGTTCACTTATAAGCAAATTTTCACAACAATCTATAAAAGCGATTGATTTGTATGAAATTTCTCTATAAACCTAGCTTTTTATGCTCTATCTTTTATCTATTGACATAAAGATAGATTTTCTTAGCTAAAAGTGTCGCCGATCGCCTAAATCGGGATCGCCGATCGCCGACTAAACTAGCCGACTTCGCTCACAAAAACAAAAACCTAGACATAAGCCATTTGAAATCTTTTTTTAAATGTTATTTTGTAGAGAAATAATTGGCTTTTCTAATGAAATAAACCGTAGTTCAACTCGTGGATTTATTGGTTTTAAACGAAAATAAGAAAAGAAACGAAAAGACTTCCTTAATAATTGTATTTTAACTTTTTAGAAACACATCAGCTGCTGAATTTGATTATGATGATACTGTCTTCATGTCCACAAACAAAACGACAGCACCACGACAAAAGAATGCATGGTAAATATTGCAAAAGTCTATCTACTATATATAAAGCGACTAAGACCTCTGTTTGTCTGTCTCTCTACTCCTCAACCCCTAGAGGACCGTTTGCAATGATTTTTGTGTTGAATAGGGAATTACATGTAGTTGTGCAACGTGCTTTGGGATTTTTTAAAAAGCACAATTCAAGTCGCACGGAGAGGTCGAACCCGAATCGTACGGGCGATAAACCGGCGCGCTATCCACTGCTCCACGGCGACAAAAGCCGCTGATCCTACTATATATAAAGCGACTAAGATGTCCTTTATATATAGCATTCTGGAAGATCCCCGCTTTCTGGAAAGAATCCAGAATGCGCCAAAGCATGACCAAGTGGTTAACTTGCACGTCTTTCAAACGAACGAAAGAGATAGGGCGCGGGTTCGCCTCCCGCCAATTCTTTTGCTTTGCGGAGCAGTGAAGCTTCTGGTGTGTTAAGAAGTAAAGAAATGAATGGCAAATGATTTGGAATCGGGATTGAACCCTCGATCTTGGTGAACTTTTGAAGAGCCAAGAGTTGAGGTTGAGATTCGTCGCGATTCGTACTGGGCTTCAAGCGGATCTTCAATAGTTTACAAGATTTTAAGAGATTCAAGAAAGCCCAGGGTTTACTCGTGTGCAGATTTGCGACAGAAAAAAGTCGACCTTCTGCTTGCTCTACCACTGAACTATCGGTGTCTTCTTTGCCCAAGAAGAAATAGTAAAGACAAGAAGGGAGGAAGGAGAAATAGGAAAGATTAGGAAGAAGAAAGGAGGAAGAAAGAAAGAAAGAAAGAAAGACTGTTAAGACCCTGAGATAAATCAATTTTCATTTTAGTAACGAAGTTGGGAAAACGTCATGCTCGGAGAGGAACAAATTGGCATGGACAGGAATGGAGAAAGGCGAGTTGATACTCACTTTTATACGAGTTTATACTTTCGTTGTACTTTGTGCTATTGAAAACAAATCTTTTCTGACAAACTAAAGCTTCAAAAGCAATCAAAAACAAGTACAGATTGATCTAAAATCGAAAAAAAACTTCAAAAGCTTTGCAGGCTAAAGATAATTTCCAATAATCAACTCTAGGATTTGTATTCGCCGCTCAAAACTTCGGCTCTTTGACCATGCTACTCACTGGCACTCACTCAGATCGATTTGAACTCAAAATGGGCAATTTGTGCTTCACTCATTCTCATTATTCTATCAAATGCGATGATTCCACTTGGTTTGTAATTTGTAAATCAAATTTTTCAGCTTTTAACTTTCAATTTCGTATTTGAATTTGAATTTCCAGTTGCTTCAACATCGGTTTGGTTGATCTTTTTGTTCCGAGTTGTGACTGGAATGGGCGATGCTTTGCTTTTCCCATCGGCTACTTCCCTGATCACAAGATGGTTTCCGCCAAAGGAGAGACCGTTTGCAATTGGATTTGTGACTGGTGGACGGCAAATTGGTGAGGAAATAAAGGTTTTGACTACTTGGCTGGACTGTCACCATAGCCGACTGGCTAAGAGCCTAGTCGGCTAGGATTCAAGTCGGCTAGGATCCTAGTCGGCTAGGATTCAAGCTAGGAGCCCTAGATCTTAGTCATGGGTTCAATCCCGCCGACTGCCTTTTTGGTTCCTCTTTTTTTCTTCTCTAGCTTTAGGCTTAGAGTTGTGCATTGTTTGCACCACATTATTTGGGTAAATAAATGTAAAGAAGCTTCGCTTAATGATGCTGTAAAATCCCATTTTTCGTGACTGGCGTGCCCCTTTTCCATTGGCACTCCAACTTTGAGCTCAAATATCTTGGTGCTGGGCTGTTCAATTGAAATAGTTTTTATACCAATCGACAGAGAAAGACTTGGTGCATCTAATGATACCAAGAATTTGCAAATTGAAAAGCCCAACACCAAGAAATTTGAACACAAAGTTAGATTGCCAATGGCAAAAGGGGCGGGGCCCTTGTCCGATAACCATACAACAATAAGCTAAAAATGAAGATTTTCAGGCACTCTTCTGATCGCTCCAATTGCCGGCCAACTTTGCGCTCGTTCTGGTTCGACATTTGGCGGATATGAAGCCATTTTCAACCTCTCCGCAATCATCGGCACTTTCATTTTGGTCATTTGGCTTTTCCTTTCCGCCGACAAACCCAGCAAACAATTCTGCATTTCTGAGGTTCGAGTTTATTTTCTTTACTATTGAATTACTTACTATTGCATCATAAAATATAGGAAAGCTTTGGTAAACAGGGTTATCTTTGAATTGTTTTCAATTCAAAATGAGCTAAGAGATTGGATGAATTGATGAATTGAATTGCTTTTGAATTGCTTTTGAATTGAATTACCAAAATATAATCGTTTGATTTATATGGGAACATATAAAGTAAAGAAAAAAGCAAATAAACAATAGGATAAATTGATAAGGTGATTTGTATGGACACAGAGATATTTATAAAATTGAATGAACAAACAATGCTTTCTTTTTACTTGTTATTAAGCTGATTTTGGGGAAAAAGACTAAAACTAAAGAAATCGACAAAAAAAGTTTAGTTATCTATTTGAAATCCCATCGTAAACTTGTAAACGCTTCAATAAAGTAATCAAAAATCCATATCCACCTTCAATAAAGTAATCAAAAAGAAAAATACTCAACAAACAATAGTCAACAATGCTAGAATCCTTCTCTTTAAGGGGAGATGCTCATCAGGGGAGATGTTCAATAGTAGAATTTGAACATAGCAACTGTTGAGAAAGCTCACGCAGCAAGCTGAGCGTCGTTTGACATAGATCCGATTCGATTGTAGCCCTCAAATTCAATTGAATAGTGAAAACTGAAGACTCTACTTGAAATTCATAGACTTTAACATATAAAAGAACACTAAAAAACCAAGAAACCCAAGAAAAAACCAAGAAAACCAAAAAAAACCAATAAAAACGAATGAAAACCAAGAAAATTTAGACTGAAAAAGACTATATCGAGAGAAAAATCAAAGAAGAAAGCTTGGGGAAAAGAAATGAAAGAGGGAATCCACCATGGAGGAAAATCGCGAAATGTCGAGCACTTTACGTGGGAGTCTTTGCTTTAGTCGGACACGAGTTCCCGCTCGTCATCATGCTACAAGTGAGTTCAATCTACGATATATAAAAAGACGTCCGTCTGTCTGTCTGTGCGCAAACGCGACACTCCAAATTCCGGGGGCGCGATTCAACGGTGCCATAACGGCCATTAGCAATGCCATTAGCAAAAAAATGAGCAGAGCTTAGCCCTTGAGGGTTTTCGCCTATGGAGAATCCGATTTTGATCTTCATTTTCAAAAAGGAGCGCGGCTTAAGCGAGTAAACGATCTTCTCTTTCCGAATCTATTCTCAAATCCGATAGTGAGCCTTTTCTGGTAATATATTTTTTTAAAAAGTCATCAAAACATTTTTTGAATCGTTTTTTAGAATGAAACTTCTAAAAAGGACCCATCCTTTTGGGTCCTTTTTAGGACCCAAAAGGATCTTTGGACCTTTGGGCTCAAATGCGCATTCTTTCACTTAAAATTATCGTACTTTTGAAAAGAAAAGCAAGATTTCTGTGCACGAGGGAAAGTGTGATTGTACTAAGTACAAAAGTACAAAAGTACACCTGATCACGTACCAAACTAGTCATGTTCATTGTAAGAATTTTAGGATAAACAAGAATTCCCATTTAAAGCCTTTAAAATTCAACGTTCAAAGCGTTCAAAGTTTCAAAGCGGACTCGAAATTGCCTAAAAATGAGCTAAATGAAATGGTTAATCGTTTTTATTTAAAGAAAATCACACATTAATTGCTAATTATTCATTTATAAATGGAAATCTCATAAAGACGGAAAGGAGGCCTTGAAAAAAGCGGACAAGACTTTCCGGCTAAAGCAATCTGTTGTTACAATCTACTAGATATAATTGAGGGTTGTCTATCTGTCTGTCTGTCCGTCTGTCTATCCTTCCGTCTGCCTGTCCGTCCGTCTGTGCGCAGCCATTGGCGAAAGCGGGCGTGGCTTAGCTCCCGGCGCGCGGGGAAAGAGACGGGCTCAGGCTCAGGCTCAGGCTCAGGCTTAGGCTTAGGCTTAGGCTTAGGCTTAGGCTTAGGCTTAGGCAAATATGCTTTGCTATTACCAAGACTTCTAAAAGCCATTAGCTTTTTCTGTTATTATTTCGCTTTTAAATTTTCAATTCCGTCTACGCTACAATACAAATTACGTTAACGTAAAATTGCAACCAAGTGATCTAGAAAGCTGAAAATTTGGGGGCTTTGCAGGCGAGGAATTCGAATATGCAATCAAATTTGTGCTACGTCCCTCAGTATCTTTAGGTAGTAGGGACGTAGCACAAATTAGTAGGAAGGTAGCTACGTACCTTTAGGTAAAATATTCGTGCCAGCGCGTAGCGGACACCCAGCGCAGCTGGTGTTACAATAGGCTTTCTCCTGTTAACCCAAACAATCCTGAACTCTTCCAGCTCTTGCCAATGTACATCAAAGATGTTCTCGGTTTCTCCGAACAACAAACCGGTTTCATTTCGGCTCTCCCTATCGGCATTTTGTGGATCTCAAAGACTCTCTCGAGTTCATTGGCCTCTGTGCTCACTGCCAGTAAACCACCGCTTTTATCAAAGACGACGAGTTGCAAGATTTTTAACTTTATTGGTTAGTTTGACTTTAGTTTGACCTTTTAACTTTATTGGTTAGTTATTTAAATATTATTAGAGTAATGGTTTTGAAGGATAGATCAATTCACTGAACTTTTCTTGGTCAAAGGTGGATTTTAGATCGTAAGCTGACTTCCGAATACAATAATTCATCAGCTAGACGACGATAGTTACTAAAAGACGCTTAATTGACTTATTTTTTTTAAAGATCTAACTAAACTACAGTAGTTTTAAAGTCCTAGTTCATATTTAGTCTTTTCCGGGGCACTTTTCAATAGAGTTCAACCAGGAGAAGCAAGTTTAATCAGCTCAAAAGTAGTTTAAAGTTTAAAGTTCGTATTTAGTTACAAGAAATATCTAATACAATCTAATAAAACAATAAAACAATCAAAATCAACAATACATACAATCCTTTCTTCAATTTCAGCATCATTGGGTTTATCTGTTTGCATCGGTGTCACTCCATTCATCGCCTCTCCTCCATGGTGCATCGTTCTTTTGTGTATGGCGAATGGATTTGCGGGTGAGGTTATCAAGAAATTTTCAGGAACCTCGAAGGAAATCTAGTTTCATTTCTAAATTCAACTCTTTTTTCAGGTCTTCACACTCCGGGCGTACAAACGGCTTTAGTACAAATCGCTCCCGCTTATTCGGGTATCATCACTGGCATTTCGTTCAGCGTTGTCGCTTGTTTCTCGATCGCCAACAAGATTCTCAGCAACAGTATTCTTGAGTAAGTTTGGAGAAAAAAAAAAGCTTTACTTTAAAAAAGCTTTACTTGGTTATTGTAGCTTAGTGGGCTTACGGTAGAGTTTTTAGAGAGTAGAGAGATTTTTAGAGAGAATTCCTGTATCATTAGCAATAGTAGCTGAGCCAATATCTAGTCAGGACCCGTCAGGACAGTCAGGACAAGACAAGAGAAGTTAGGACAAGATCTGTGAGCTCTAAGATACAAGATCTAAAGCCTGTCGAAGACTACAGTAACTCTGGCTTGACTTTTGGAGCTTTCAAAATCCTTTGTGATCTCAAGTAGAATCAGAGTAGGCTTACGGTAGAATTTTTAGAGAGTAGAGAGAGTTTTTAGAGAGCAGAGAGAGAGGGAATTCCTATATCATTAGCAATAGTAGCTGAGCCAATATCTAGCCAGTACTGGGTACAAGATCTGTGAGCTCAAAGATACAAGATCTGTGAGCTCAAAGATCCAAGATCTAAAACGTGTCAACTTTCGAAGACTCCAGTAACTCCGGCTTGATTTTTCGGAGCTTCCAAAACCCTTTGTGATCCCAAGTAGAGTCAGATTAAAAGTAGATAGATTAAGTAACTTCTAGTTAGTTTGGATTTCAATCAATTTCAATCAATTTTAACGATTTTAGCCCTCAAAAGGCGAATCTCGATCAATGGAAGATCGTGTTCCTCATCTCGGCGGTTGTCGCCATTTTGCCCGTCTTTTTCTTCACGATTTGGGGCAGCGCCGAGCGGGAAAAATGGGCAACCAATCAGGTACAAAAAAACCTAGCAAAATCGCTCGAAAAAACTATTTCTTTTACTTTTTAGGCTTTCATTTGTCGGCCATCATTCATGATGAACTTTTCCTAGCGTAAAAATGAGATTTGCAAAAGAAAAAACATAACTAATCATTTCCCTAAACATAGAGCTTATAGAATAGCGCTCTTTCTATCGATTGCTTTCAAATTTCGACGCTAGTTTGACGCTAGTTTGCAAAAAAACTGCCTAAAAACCTTTTCAAAGGGATTTTCAGGGTATCTCTAATTTATAAAGTAAAGTTGAAGGGAAATTCTATCATTTAAACGAATCATATTCTATCACTGATAAAGAGATAATCACTATTCTATCACTGATAAAGAGATAATCTGAAAGTACTTATTAAAATTGATTATTAAGATTTACAAATCTTATGCAAATTTTTTAGGGAATGAATCCCGATGTGGAGACGCAATCGCAGAGCTCAAATGGCTCTGATAACACACTGACACGATATGCTGTGGCAATCAATCAGGATCTCGATTTGGAGACAGCTTAGACAGCAAGAGTCGCTTTGTTTAGTCGCCTTGTTTAAGTATTTGAGAAGCATAGGAACTTGTTATGATTGTTTTGTGAAAAAAGGATGAAACGGGGCTTCTGGTCTAATGAAATAGCTTTGGTTGGCACATCTACTGTAAGCTTGCGGGTACTGTAAGTTAAACTTGTAACAAAAACATCTGTCAGTCCTTTTTACCTGCAATTTAAGGTTTTTCTGATTTTTCTCAGCACGGGTCCTTTGATTTTGTCTATTTTAACTACCATTTGATGCAGAAAAAAATTGCGCGTCGAATGATACCAAAATCAACTCAAAATGTAATATTCATGCAAAGTTATGGGGCAAAAGGTGACGCCCCACCAATAATGGGCGGGGTTTAGGTTTTTAGCCTCATAACTTTGCATGGATATTACATTTTTAGTTAATTTTGGTATCATTCGACGCGCAATTCTTTTCTGAATCAAATGATAGTTAAAATAGACAAAATCAAAGGATCTGTGCTGAGAAAAATCAGAAAAATCTTAGATTGCCAATAGCGAAAAGGGTCGACAGCTATTTTCGTTACAAGTCTTGTAAGTAGTACTTTTTCTAGCTGTACTTTGATAAATAATTGTTCTGTATAGTACAGGTCACTAGTATAACATGATTTCAAGAGTACTACACAGTACTAGCTACAGGGTACCGGTAGTAAGCAGTTGGAAACGAGCAAGGACTCAGGATCTAGTAATTTTTAGACTCTAGCCTACAAAGATGCCTAATTACAGTAAGCAATCTTATTCGAAATGATTTTTAGTGTTTTTTATACAATCTGCATACTAAAAAGACTCAAGCTAGCGTAACGCAGAAGTGTGCCAGAAGCCGCGCGTTTCCGCTTCTCTCCCTCAGTTTGGTCGAGTGTTTAGCGCTCTCGGCTCTCAAAATAACGATCCCGGTTGAATCCCAGCGAAAGTTTTTCTCTTTTTTGTTTATTTTCCTCTTTTCCCAATCAAAATTGGGTTCTTATTTGACGGGTTTCCGAGAAGATATTCGGCAAAAAAAAAAGCCAAAAAACAAAACAAAAAACTCTCTGTTTGTGTATAGCTCGAATTTGCCCACAAAAAGAAGTGCAATTTTGTAAATACCATTGTAAATTTCTCGAGTTTTCAAATTCTTTTTCGCATTTTCGCATTTTCTGTGTTTTTGGTCACCAAATATGGGTCCTCTCAAAAGCTTTCTCGTGTTTTTTTTGCGCTTTAATCTTTGTTTTTATCTTTTTTTGTCTTTTTCTTATTCTTTGTCTTTGTCTTATTCTTGTTTTTCTCTTGTTCTTTGTCTTTTTCTTTTTCTTATTCTTTTTCTTATTCTTTTTCTTATTCTTTTTCTTATTCTTTTTCTTTTTCTTTTTCTTTTTCTTGTTTTTTTGCACAATCCCGGTTGATTTTTCGGAAATTTTCTTTAAGAAAATACTTATTTTTAAGTAATTTTTCATTTTTTTCATTTTTGTAAATATTTAGTGAAATTTTTGGTGATTTTTTTTCTGTGATTTTCCCTGAGCATTTCAATTTTTCTCAAATTTCCCTTATCTTTTCGTTTTCGCTTACCGACATCGGGTATCGTCTTTTTTTTTTAAAAAGATTAGAGAAAATGAAAATAAAAGTTTATTGAAAATGATTGCATTTGCATTTGGAAAGCATATCGACAAAAATTTAAAGTAAAAGATTTTAAATTTAATGACAATGCTCATAGCTTTCAGCATTGATAGCGATTGGTCGCTGGAAGAACGATTTAAGCATTCGTCATCACATAAAACATGATAACTATTATATTATTGGATTGGCGAATTGAAAACTGCGGGCTATTGTCATATGTGACAGTTTGAGCACTTTCTTCAAAAGAAACCCATTTTGGTGTCAATGGAAAAGTTGTAGAGAATCAAAAATCAAGCTTATATCCAAATTTTCAGTATTGAAAACTGTTATTTCGATTTTTGATTACCGTTTGAAAAAAATCAGCCTCAATTAAATGTTGTGCTAGACGTAAATATTTCTTTGTCTCTAATCTCGCAGTAGTTTGATCTTTACCATAATCCTAAGATTTAATAATTTGAGTTTTTATTCAGGTCAAATCACTCGAATGGCCTCGATTGCAAATCAAACGGAGGAAAGGCCAGTTTTATCTATTTTAGTAAAGTTGTCTTTTCATGATTAGTTGACTGCTTCTTTATTTTTGATTTGTTTTTCATTTCTTTCTCTAGATGACTGTTGATCGGCCTCGCCCCATCTTGATGTTTGTCGAAGAGAAGGGTCAGCGTCTCGATTTCGCCTTCCCCGGTGACGGTGCGGGATATTTCGAAATCAAGCATCCGCAGAGCCAGAACCACTATCGATTTGCCTATCTTCCTGTGGTTAATCCTCCTCCATATGTGGTTAATGGAGCTAGTGTTCCTCCAAATGGCATCTACGAAGTAGACCCTGTGGACTTCCGCGGCCGGAACCAAGGAGGAAGATTCCGTTTTCTTTGTTCATAATGTGATGTTACAGGTCAGGGTTTGTTTCTAACTATAGTTTTTCTATAGCGTGTGTGAGGTTTGATATTTGAAATTATATTTTATGATTGTGGTGCTTCAGATCCCTTTCAACCCAAACAAGCAACGTGTGTTTAATTTACGCCGTGGAAGAAACGTTGCTGTTGCGGGCCAGCCTGTGGATGTCGCAGAGGTCGGTGTTTTCGTTGATGTGTTCAATCATTCGTTTGACGTTTTCATCGGTGGCCTTAAGCAGGATCATATTGCAGGAATCTAGCCAAGGTTTTTTCAAGTTTCATCATTTGTTCTTGGATAATAAAAAAAAGCCCAAGTATGATATCCTAGATTCAAATTAACTTGTAGCATTCTGGCAAAAGATTCACAAATATTCTCTTTGATAGAACTAAGTTTATTTTCGGCTATGACGCTTACATTTCAATAATTAAATTTACGAAAAATGCTTTTATGAAGTTAACAAAGCGCTTAAACTCATCCAAAATCAATAACTTTTCATAGATGTTTTGATAACTTGTATGTTCAGATTTCGTCATGGTCGCGGCTCCATCATGCACGACAAAAGCCTCGGCTTTATTCGTCAAACTACCTATTAACAAAATCGAGTCAATCCAAAAGCGCTTTACTAAGATTGCCCTCCTAAAAATTGATTACACGAAGTATCATAACTATAGCTATGGACAAAGGCTTAAAGTTTTCCAATTAGATACTCTGCAACACCGACGGCTAGTCATTGACTTATTAGAATGTTTTAACATCCTGAAGTGCACACATTCTGATCCCCTTTATGCGAATTTCTTTCCTCCCTCTGCCCCCTCAGGCTCCAGAAGAGGTATATCTTTTAAGTATCCTAGATCCCTTTCTGATGTTACTTTTAATTGCTTTCACAATCGTGTTGTTCGCGCATGGCATTCCCTTCCTCTTAGCATCAGACATCAGACGTCATCTCCTCCAACTTTCAAAAGAGCAATTTCTTGTTTAGCACAATAATTGCTATTTTTTAAAATTGTAATTCCCATCGTGAAGCTAGTTTAGGGTAGTTTGTCATTCCAATATGAGTTTTCGCTCTAAATTTCATTATTGTCTCCCATTATGTGCAAATTTTGCTGGTTCACTTATTCACTTGCCGAATGAAGTATATATATTTGCTTATATAGAAACATCGGAGTTGAATTGAATCTTAAGGTGATTGTTGGTAATAATTCGTTCGGTTCGGATAATTCGGATTGGTTTTGGTTCGGATAATTCGAAGAAGTTGAAAGTTTTGAAACAAATTTTCCTGAAAATCAAATCGAAATTCGAAGTTTTCTATTTTTGTTCTTTAGTTTTGAGACCTAGAAGCACAAAGTAGGAAGAGAGGGAAGAAGTTCACGAGTATACTCAATGCTAAAGGTGAACGGTATTAGATTAGATATTTTGGATGCCATGGCTGCCATGAGTCTCCTGACCAGATGTTCAGTCATGGCATAGTCAAATTTGATCCAAATCGAATCGGAATTTATGAGATGTATGAGATGTATGAGACCGAAAAAATGAGAAACATAGAATGTTGCAAGACTTTTGCACCCAGTTTTTAGGGTATTTTTTAGTAGTTTTGTCATTTACTTTTTTGTTTTACGCTGAACTTCAAATTTATTTTTGTATTATTCTAATTAAAAACAAAAAAGCCTTACGAACGGATGGCATTTTCTATAAAAAAATTTCATCGATTTTTTTGAAAAAGTGATGTCGCAAGACTTTTGCTCGGTATTGTATTTGACGAATTTTGCGCTAGATTCGAATTTAGTTACGGCTTGAACCTGAAAGAGTAAATTGGCATCGAATCTGAGAATATGATCACTCATTTATTTGTCTTTCCCATTTCATAGTAGATACTTTGATGAATAACAAAAAGTATTTAAAGATTAAATATCAAATCCTAAAACTTTATTATGCTTTTAATAATCTCAAATCAATCGTAGCACTTCGTATCACAAAAAAAAGCATCTTTGGGGTAAAAAAAAAAGGGCAATCTTTGGCTGAAAAGAAAAAATTAAGGAAAAAAGGTAAAAGTGAAGCAAAAAAAAAAGGATACCGGTATATATGCAAATTTTGCTCAAAAAAATTTTGTGATAAAATGTAAAGCGAAAATCGATAAGAGATCTTAAGAGATAGTAATTTTAAACGCTAAGTCCCCTGGGTGCAAGTTTAGCCCGTTGTCGTCGTGAGATTTGTTTCGGAGGCGGATGAATTGACCATTGACTCGTCATGGGACTCTGAAATGCCGTTTGAATACGAAAAATCCTTGAAGATCATGCAGTGAGTGAGAAAATTTGAACTGAGGGCTTTGATTTCAGAAGTACCACGGTGGTCTCGGTGATCTCTAGATCGGAGAGCTCCACATAAATTGGGCTGAAAGTTTGTCTTACTCAAAAACGAATCAGCTGACTAAACTACTCAAAGGGAATCTGGTTTTGCGAAGTTTTGCAAATTTATTTGGTTGATAAAATTTTATTTAAACATTTTCGAATAATTTATCATTGTAACACAAGGATTTCTTTATCTAACGATGAGACTTTTCCCGTTACACCCATCTTTACTTTGTGCTCTTCAAAACACACTCTTTCTGGAGCACTTGACTCATTAGTTTTTTAAAAAATCAAGTTGTCGCCAGGAGAATCAACTGTTGACAACAGAAAGAAGATTTTAAATCTTGATAAGATATTGGTTTGGCCAGAAAGTCTTGTCTACCTTTTTGAAATTTTCGTTTATAAATAATTAGTCAATAAACGTGTGATTTGCTTTAAATAAAAAAAGATTAACTATTTCATTTAGCTAATTTTTAAGCAAATTTGTGTCCACTTTGAAGCAAACCCAAACGGGAATTCTTGTTTTTTCCTAAAATCCTTACAATGGACATAGAATGAAAACGGCTTGGTGAAATGTTCTGAAAATTTGTCTATCTACCAAACTTTTCATTCTCTATCTTTACTCTTTTTACACCAAAATAGGTTTCCGTGAGAAAAGGAGCTCAAATCGGAACTTTGAGTTTCATCGTTTTTGACTGCTTGACTTCGCACTTTTAAAAAAATTAATTCACGCGAGCTATTCAGAATTTCTTAAAGGGCAAAGGGTAAATAAATATTAGGACTTTCTGATAAAACAAACCATAGATTGATTGGTTCATTATTCGTTTCAAAAAATAACATTTCAAAAAGCAAACAAGACTTTCCGATCAACCTGATACAACAATAAATCCTCTAAAGGGTTTATGTACTTACAAAGACTATGTAAAATTCGACAAATTATGACTAAAACTTGGATCAAAGATCAGTTTATCGATTTCAACACTTACATAATTCGTGGCACTCCTTGAGATGCATTATAGGGCGGTGGTTCGCTGGCCTCAGTCACTTGTCTCGATCTTCTCAATCCTCGTCGTGGATTCACTTTTGTCGGTTTAGCATTCTCGCTGACCGGGCTACGGAGAACGTAGCTGAAAGTAGATATTGGCTTTAACACGTTTAAACAAGGCCATTTTTTTGTATTTAAGTCTGAGATAAGAATCGGAAATGGTTACTTTGCGCCAAATTTTTTGCACAACTTTCTTCTTCTTCTAAGTGTGGCAATCTTCATGATTTTGGTGTAATTTTGAAGATCTCAACAAGTGCAACAAAATGACTTTAAAATTATAAAGATTGACGCACTTAGAAGAAAGTTATAGCGAGTTGCGCAAAAAAATTGGCGCAAAGTAGCCATCTCCATAAAAGTTTTTTTGATTGTTTACAGACTTGAGGCCTTTGCTCTTATTGCTAGAGAACGGTAAAAATAAATATTAATACGAATTGATATTACAGAACAAATCTTAATTTTTGTCTACTAAATCTCATTGACATTGACTCACACAATATCCCCGGCCTCGAGCGCCAAATCAGCGGATGGATTGATGAGAACATAGCTGATCATTGTATCTCGGTTATCATATCGATCAAGATCTAGATATTTTTTATGAAAAACCTTTTACTATTCTCTTACTATGATCATCGAGACTCATATCCAAATATCTCATTCGATTCTTCACCATATCTCTCACTTCATTTTTCATGGAAACGGTGAGTGTTCGGGATTTCAAGAGATCGACATCTTTCCTCGATATCGATTGATACCTAATTGATTGATTGATACAAGCCTCTATTTATACAAAAGCTCGTAAATGCGTGACTTCTGGCACAATAAATATCCAGATATAAGGTTCGAACTCAAGATATGAGATTTCTGGAAGAGTGGGCTCGAATTTGCATAAGAAGTCCAGAAGGCACGCGTTTACGAACCCCTCGCCTAGTTTGGTCTTTAGTTATCCTCCGAGTAAATCCAATCCAAATCAATGTCAGACAAATAATTTTTTAGATATCTAATTTATAGTATTCAGCTCCAATTACCGTAGTAGCATCCATTCTTTTCGACCGAAAGATTCCCAACGGAATATCGGCCACAGATGAGCACAGCTTTTGATACAATCGACCATAGCTTTTGATCCACAAATCTTCCTCAGTGATTTCGAACTAAAATAAAGCTTTGTTTAGCAAAAAAAAAGGAAAAAAAAAGAAATCCTAGTTATAGCACTATTTGTTTACAGCTACAATGTTGTTTTTAAAACTCACCGATGCCAAATATCCACTTCCCGGATTCTGATCGATTCCCAAGAAGAGCCGAGTCAAGCTCACGAGATATGGCTTGATGATAGACTAAAATTCATTCGTATTTTGCTCTGTGCACCTTAAAAAATGTACCTGATACAACAATCTGTCCAACATGTTTGCTGAGAAGACACCCACCTTGAGCAAAAGGCAAACGGAACATGTAAGGCATGTTGGAGCCACGCCTGCGTTCTTTCTGAAAATCAAAAGACTTTGTTACAGAATCTTCTTGGGAGGATTCTCTTTAAAGTGCCCAAAAATCTAATAGAAGAGCCCCGATAGGAGGTCGCGTAGTCTAAGTTTACACTGAAACAAACGCTCATATCTCCGCATCAGTACGTTCGCTTCTGTGCGCTTAGGTATCAAATTAAAATAGAGAGGATAGGTGATTTTTTGATATATAACATATATTTTTAGCATTAACCAGCGCTTAGAACAAAATGATTAAAAAATGATGGAAAAAGTCGATTTTTCATCATTTTTCAATCATTTTGTTCTAAGCGCTGGTTAATGCTAAAAATATGTGTTATACCTCAAAAAAAATCACCTATCCTCTCTACTTTAATTTGATATCTAAGCGCGCAGAAAGAAAGTCCCGGCGCCGAGATATGAGCGGTCCTTTGAGTGTAAACTTAGACTACGCGACGCTCCTATAGGGGCTCTTCTATTAGAATATTTATGGTATTCAAAATGGTGGCAGCTTGAAACTTCAAGAAAAATGTTCATAATTCATTTTTGGATCAAAAGAACTCAACACTTACCTTTTCAAATTTGCTTTGTTGAAGCGAGTAGGGATCGTGCGGATTGAACATCATAAATCTCATGTTACTTGTATGGGTCAACTCGGTGACGATACGGAGAGCCGGGAACCAGCTGAAAGAAGCAAAAGGTTTTGCTGTGAATGATTTGTGTCTTCTTACGAGTGAATTTTCTGCACAGTAATGATCGTGGTTGAATCCGCCAAGTGTTCCTCTCCAACCACAGCCGTTTCTCTCACCACAACCACGTTCTCCGATTGACAAACGCCGGCTTTGAGGAGACTGTCCAAACTGAAATAAATTTGGTAATTTGAGAAATTGATAAGATTTTTTAGAACGCTTTGCTTTGATCTATAAGCACATTTACTTACAATTAGATGCCTTTTACTCCTTTTACTGCCTGCCTTTTTACTTTTTCCTTATAGTAAAACCGACCTTGATAACCTTCCAGGCATCCAATAAATATCCGGGAAATAGGAAATGACATCAAGAAAAACGGGATCTGGATCTTCTCCGCCTTCTTGTTCCAATAACAAAACGATTGGACGAAGATCGTGCACTGGTCGATAGTAGGCTCTAAAAGACAAATTCCTTAACTGTTATCTACAAACATCTACAAATCAAGATCTACAAACAGATAGCTTTATTTTTAAAAACTAGTTTACCTCAGAGGGATGATCAAATTGTACATTCCGGATGAGACTCGATCGGCAGCCAGGATGATTGCCGAGTTTTGCCATTTGTATTTATTTGCCGAGACATAAGGGAAATGGGAGCAAGCCTGAATATAATATTAAGTTTGTGCAAAGTCTATAATTTTTTTTTTCCAAACGCCTTTTAAAAATAATGCCGTTACCAACAAAATTTCTATTTAAACTATTAAAAAGGTTTTTTTGCAAATAGGTCTAATTGTTTCTCTGCAAAATGACTTTTGGTAAATTCTTAAAAGTAATTGTTTTTGTGGATTTTCAAAGGCGCAAAGGCAAGCACTCAAAACTTAAAAGCCGAATTTGGACGCTTTCTTCAATTTATTTCAATTACTTCAATACAAACCTATTTTGGTAAAAGATAGAGCTCATTTGATTACATAAGTCTATAAAATTTGAAAACTATCCGTTTAGCGGTTTTCTTTAAAGCAGCAATTGAAAATTTTACACAAAAATGCATTTTTATCGAGTTGAGGCGAGCTTTAAGCTGTCTTTAAGCCGTCTTTAGCTTTAAGCTTTCTCTCAAAAGTCATTTTGTAAAGAAATGATAGATCTTTTTCATGATTTATTGAACAAATTTCGTAAAGGATTCTTTTCTATGGAAACAAAAATTTGCAAAGACTTATGCACCAACCTAATAGAAGGTAAGTTTTTAAAATTTTAAAAGTTTTAAGATCAAAAATCCATTTACCTTATGAATTTGCAAGCAGCAGAGATCCCTCTTTTTTCTTCAACACATGGCAAACTGTGGGACTGGCTCCGATGTAGGTTTTTCGCTTCGGAAACGAGCGTTCGGTTCTGGAAATTCGGCCATAAGAGAAATTTAGCAAGTATTTAATAATTTCTAGATTTAAAACTCACTCTGATTGAATACATCGAACCCTGCCGGCATTGAGACATCGATCACAGCGATTCTCATCTTCATCGCTTGATGTAGAGGTGGATTCGTTGTTCTAAATGAAAAACTTTAACTTGAAAACTCGTATAATTCCAGGATTGGATGAAAAGTGGTAAACAACTGGTTAAAAATGGTAAACAACTGGTTAAAAATGGTAAACAAAGATTTAAAGCGAGCAAAGTTATACTTAAATCAATAATAATACTTAGAAATAGGATTGATTATTCGTTTAAAATGGTAAGAAAAGATTTGAAAGGGTTCTAAACAGACAAAACTACTTTCAGCAAAGCTTTCATGAGCACTTTGAAGTGCTAAAAAGAAAAGAACAGAAGTTTGTTTATTGGTCCATAAAAAATCTAGACAAAAAACTGCCACAAATAAAAAAATCGTAAAAAATTTTGGTGCAAATACGTCGCTTATTGAAATCAAATAGCATCAGAAATTTGTTAATTACCCCAACTAGAGTGTGTTCCTTGGGGTAGGCTACTTTGCCAAATTTTTTGCGCAACTGGGTCGTTCGCAAATCGCCATAAATTTCTTCTAGTAGACCAATCTTTATGATTTTGGTGTCATTTTTTTAGATCTCATTAAGTGCAACAAAATGGGACCAAAATCATAAAGATTGGCTTATTTAGGAGAAAGTTATGGCGCAGAGCCAGTTGCTTTGGCGCAAAGTAGCCACCGCCGGATTACTGTGGGTTTAACTTAACATAACTTCCTTCTAAGTGGACCAATCTTTATGATTTTGGTGTCATTTTGTTGCACTTATTGAGATCTACAAAATGACACCAAAATCATAAAGATTGGCTGACTTAGAAGAGAGTTATGGCGAGTTGCGCAAACGGCCCAGTTGCGCAAAAAAAAATTGCGGAAATTAGCCTACCCCTGTTCCTTCCGAGTAAGTTAAAGCAAATCAGTTGAATATCTTTTAAAAAAATTGAGTAAGACCCGCACGAGTAATTTTTCCTTGATTACCGTATTTTCTGTAATAGTAGTGCAGTCTATAATAGTAGTACAGTCTGTAATAGTAGTGCAGTCTATAATAGTAGTGCAGTCTATAATAGTAGTGCAGTCTGTAATAGTAGTGCAGTCTGTAATAGTAGTGCAGGCAGGAGGGGGGTTGAAAAAATAGTAGTGCGCACTACTATTAGAGAAAATACGGTAATCGACGTTTTTTTGGTCGAGTAACTACGAGGAATCCTTTGTACACGTCGAGTAAATTGAATAACTTTAAATCTGAAGGGAATTTGCGACGAAAATCAGTCAAAAAGGCTGAATATCTTTAAAGCTGAAAGGATTTTGTCACCAAATGAGTTAGCTGAATATCTTTATATTTAAAGGGATTTGTCGTCAAATCAGTTAAACGACTGAATATCTTTAAAAGCAGTCGTATATAAGTCGACGCTCGTAATTTTTTTGCAATAGTTTCCTCTAAAAGTACGGTAAGTTTTTCCCCAGTGTGGGTTTTAAAAAACGCATTACTCGCGAGGAAAACAATAGATCTCTCTCTAAAACACTCTAATAGAAATCGTATACAATTTTAGTGCAGTTTTTTCGCTTATTGAAATCAAATAAATCAGAAATTTCTTAATTTTCCTAACTCACCTCAGCGACGATTCCGACAGACGGTCGTCGATCGATATTGTTCTCCACCTCAATCAGTCTCATCTCGTCCGTTTGCTGAAATCACATGCATCAAAAATCAAATTGCTGATTGAAATTTTACAACAAATAAGGGCTCAAATAAGTTAAATAAGTTAATCAAAGCCAAAAAACCTTTGCTTTTCTCAACAATCCAATCCTCTTTCGTTTCTCTCGTTTCACATTGTTTCCTCCTGATTCCAAATGTGGAACATCCATGGCAACAGTGCCTAAAATTTACTGATACTTTTGTTTCTAAACAACCAAAAGTGGCATTGATCATTGATTGATCATCCTGCATTGGGTTTGGGATAACTCAAATTGTGAAATTGGGAGTTTGGAAGTGATTTTTGTGCTTTTTTGGGTTCACACTTGTGATTTTTCATACTAGCCGATCGGCCTCTTGTCAGATGGATATCACAAAATGGAGCCGGAATATGGAAATCGGGATTGGATCGACGCGAAGATGAGGGCGTCTCTTTTACGGGGGAAATTGATGGCTCACTCGAGGATGGCTCTTCCACTATGATCGCCACGGTACCTGCGATCAAGAAAAGTTCTACGAAAAGTTACCAGTTTTTGACGAGCATTACTTTACTAGCTACACCTGTGCATTTTAAGCTATTGGACCCACAGTACTTGGAATCAATAGATGGAAATAGACAAGGTCAGGCTCAGGCTAGAAGCTGGCCTGGCTTGGCTGGCCTGGCCTGGCTTCTGGCTCTGCTTGAACTGTGCTGGCTTAGTAGATTTAGTCCACAAAAAGTATCTGGGCTTGTCAGAAGCCAGGCTTAGACCTAGCTCAGACCAAATAGTCAGGCTTATTTGGCCAAACCGGTTATCGGACATTTTATACGCGCCCAGCCCCTTTTACCATTGTCAATCCAACTTTGAGCTCAAATATCTCGGTGTTGAACTGTCCAATTTAAGTCGTTTTTGTACCAATCGACAGAGAAAGACTTGGCGCATTTAATGATATCAAGAATCTATAAATTGAAAAGCCCAACACCAAGAAATTTGAGCTCAAAGTTAGATTGCTAATGGGAAAAAGGGCTGGGCCCACAATCGGCCAAACCTGGTCTGTTCCGATTGGAAAATCTCTGCACTTGATCTTTGAATAAACCAGAAACAAGTGCTGCATCAAGAAATGTGTTCGCAACTTTGAAAAAGTACCCGAAAAAGTTCTCTCCAAACTCACCAACATTGGCGATCGAATTGGCCAACGTTGCCTTTAGTCGTTGATTCTTCAGATCTTTCCGGAAATCATACAATGACTCCTCATTTGTCAATCCCATATAATAAACGGTGTCACTTGGCTGAATGATGTGCGTGAGGCCAGGGTTGAGTCTCATCTTTGACTCGATCTCGTTCGTTTTCACCCCAATCAACCCAATACCGTATCTGAAAGCGGGCACATAAAGCTTTATCGTTTTAAAAGGCTTTATCGTTTTAAAGGTTTTAAAACTCACGCTCTATGTGCATGAAATGATGCATAAGTGAAGCTCTTTCCAACGAAATCACCAAAGAATTTCGAATCTTGTACCATGATGTCGTAGATTTCATTGCCAGAATGAAAACCGTAGACTTTATGCCAGGGTTCAGTAGATTTTTGGCCTTCTCTGAAATGAAAATGATTTAAAGAGATGGAGATGACGCTTTGTGAAAGCTTTCATTACATTTCGTTTAATTGCATCTTAAATATACGCCATGGGTGATTGGCTAAAACCGCCAAGGCCTTGGCCAAATTTACTGAGATAAGGAAGCAAATATAGAGAGATAATGGACCAAATTTAGAGAGATAAGGAACCAAATTTAGATAAACATTTAGTAAACAGTAAATTTAGAAACCAAATTTAGTAAACAAGGCCAAGGCCGACTGGCTAAAGCCTCCAAGGCCGACTGGCTAAAGCCTCCAAGGCCGACTGGCTAAAGCCTCCAAGGCCGACGCCCGACTGGCTAAAGCCTCCAAGGGCGACTGGCTAAAGCCGCTAAGGCCGACTGGCTAAAGCCTCCAAGGCCGACTGGCTAAAGCCTCCAAGGCCGACTGGCTAAAGCCTCCAAGGCCGACTGGCTAAAGCCGCTAGGGCGACTGGCTAAAGCCTCCAAGGCCGACTGGCTAAAGCCGCCATGGCCGATTGGCTAAAGCCGCCATGGCCGACTGGCTAAAGCCGCCAAGGCCGACTGGCTAAAACCGCCATGGCCTACTCGAATTGCTAAACAATTGCTTAACAATTGCTGACTTGTATTGCTGAATTATTCAATTTACAATCACCTACAGTATTTCTTTCCCAAAATCACTTACTCTCCTCGACTTGTGTGCATTAAAAGCGTCAAGAATGTGGAAATTCCCGGACAAACGCAATTGTTCGCCAGAAGGGAATACTTCAACTCATCCTCGCAGATACAAACTTCTAAAAAGTTTCAAGTTTTTCATCTCGCCTTCTTAACAAACCAGCATGATTCAAATGCATTTTTGTCTCAGGTCGAAAGATTTGAACATATTGCGGGACTTGAGGCGCAAAATCCTTGATGGCCCAAGAGCGGAGGATTGTGTGTTCGTCCTAAACAAATTCGTCTATGCACCTATGCACGGATGCACGTTGATAAAGCTCTAATTTTATCTAAACACTCATCGAGTTTCCCCCACCGTTGTGATCTTCTTTTGCACGTGTCGAGCCGACAGAATAAAGCACGCTTTTGCCGTGCTGACTCGAGCTCTAAAATTTGGGTTATTAGAGGGATGGCAAATCTATGATTCCATGGCAAATCTTATACAAATCTTATAAATCTTTCAAATCTTTCTCAAAAAGTCGAACGTCCGAATCCGAACTAATTTCCAATTTTTTTTAATTAACTTTTTTCACATGTAACTTTATTTTAAGAATTTATAAGTCTTGATCTAATGAGGCCAAAATCAGCCAAAATAAGGCCAAAATCATTAAAATTGGCTGACTTGGTCTTGGAGTTACAGGCACGCAAAGTCAGGTCAAGGGTTTAGTTCAGTTTTGTTCGGTTTAGTTCGGTTTAGTTGGGTTTAGTTGGGTTTAGTTCGGATTCGGACGTAACCTATGTATTGGTGTGGTTTTTATTCATGTATTTAATGCAGATATAGTCAGTATAGTAACTGATCTAGTTGACGCTTAAAATAAAAGAACAGCTTGTTCAGGAGTCTCGCGTTTAGGTCCTTAGGTCCGTTTAGGTCCTTAGGTCCGTTTAGATCTTAGGCAATCTTCTCCAAGATTGACACAAATTGTTGACTTAGCGACTCTACTTTGTACTATTCATTAAGAGCTTTCAGCTATTCATTAAGAGCTCTACTATTCATTAAGCGCTTTCAGCTATTCATTAAGAGCTCTACTATTCATTAAGAGCTTTCAAATGATAGATAACACAGTACTTGCTTTAGTTTCTTCTTTTAATTCATCAATAAGCATTCGTTCCATAATTTTGCCGTCTTCTTCTTTACCTCTCCAAATCCTCATCCCTCAGCGCACTGCCTCTCACGTATTTCACTCGTTGTGACCAAAGGGGAATTTTCAGCAACATTCTCATTTGGTTATCCAGTTCTGATGGGGATAAAAGGATGCAGAGTTTCAACTAAATACCTTTTTTCGTCAAAATTGACCAAATTTCCTACCTGATTCTCCGGATGAGCATAAAATTCAGTCAAGAAATCTTTGATAAACTCCACTTCCAAATGAGTGATTGTGACAACGACATGCGCTTCCTAAAATCGAAATTACATTACAATGAAATCCACATCCTCTTTCAAACCGTTTGACTCAACTTTTGACTCAACTTTTGACTCAACTTTTGACTCAACCTTGACTCAACTTTGACTCAACTTTTGACTCAACTTTTGACTCAACTCAACAACTCAACTCAACTTTCAATTTGAATGGGAAAGCTTAATGAATCTGGTCTACCTGATTTCCCCATCCAGTCGCCAAATCTCCTCCAGATCGTTCCTTCTCGAGCCAAGTTTGAGTGAGTTTCTCGAGTTGTTGTGGTAACATCAACAACATCATGATGATCAAACCGATTACCAGCAATTTCGAGAGCCACGTGTCAGGGTACCTTGAAGAAAGAATTCACGTACAGTGATTTAGACACTGGTAATGATGCGCTCAGAATGTTTTAGACACTGGTAGGCGGCTGTATTTCTTTTCTCTTTGTGAGATGTCGACTTACACTCAAAAACAAAGTTGTACCCGGATCAGTTTCTAATATTATGCGCCTAAAAGCTTTTATCTAGCTCTTACGATCAAATTTTTATCTAGTTCTTACGATTTTGATATACCTGAGTTCGGCGTAAGGTCAAATTTTGAGAAAACTTTCGAAAGCTTTTGAGAAAAGTGTGGATAGTTTAAGTATCTGATATTTTTAGATAAGAATTTCAAAAATAAAGATACTTTAGGTAAGCATAGATGTAAAGCAGATAAAAGAATATGATAGGTTTAACGTAGCTTGTGTTAAGGTATGGAGAGGTACAACTGGATAGTATCAGGTAGACATGGGAAAACTGAAGCCGAACCTAATTCCATCTTCGTTTTCTCGGCTGTTTCTTGGTGGATTGCTTTGAAATCTTGTTTACAGAAAGAAATCGATATTTTAGACAAATTGTAGACAAAATTGTAGACAAAATTGTAGGCAAAATTGTAGCCAAGATTTCAAAGCAATCAGCTAAGAAACGGGTGAGCTAAGATGGAATTAGGCTCGGCTTTGAATTAGGCTCGGCTTAGAATTAGGCTCGGCTTAGAATTGGGTTTTTTGATTGGGTGGGTTGGGGGGGGTGTGTACATTCGGGTAGAATTGGGCTCGGCTTAGAATTGGGCTCGGCTTAGAATTAGGCTCGGCTTAGAATTAGGCTCGGCTTAGAATTGGGCTCGGCTTAGAATTGGGCTCGGCTTAGAATTGGGCTCGGCTTAGAATTGGGCTCGGCTTAGAATTGGGCTCGGCTTAGAATTGGGCTCGGCTTAGAATTGGGCTCGGCTTAGAATTGGGCTCGGCTTAGAATTGGGCTCGGCTTCTCATGTCTAGTGCTACTAGATCAACGACTAGTTATAATTATAACTAGTATTAGAATTGTTTTTGATGTGCATCGCTTGGATTTTGTCAAATAGATTAAATATGTATTGTGCTTTGTTATTTAGAACTCTGAAACTCACCAATCTCCATATCCAACTGTCGAGAAAGTGACCATTGTAAAGTAGAAACTCGTAATCAAATCGACTCGCCGATCCCCACATCGTTGCAAGTGTTGAAAACCGCAAGCACCTAAAATCTTCACTTGATAAGAAAAAGAAAAGAATACAAAGCTTTTTGAATTTGAATTTGAATTGAATTTGAATTGAATTTGAATTTGAATTCGAATTTGAATTCAATTTGAATTCAATTTGAATTTCAATTGAATTCAAGTTGAATTTCAATTGAATTTTCAATTCAATATCCATGTTTTGAAAACTGTTAACAAGAAATGTGATCTTGTCTGTAGAATTAAAGTGACCGTATTTACCGTACCGTATTTTCTCTAATACTAGTGCACCCCGAGCCGAGTTGACGACCATTTTACAGTTCCCAAGCTCTCACAGAAGCTCAACACTCGAATCCCCCACTAGATCTCATCGTCAGCTACATTTTCCGACCCCACATCGATAGGTTCTGATAAGCGGTTCTTGAGATTTCGAGCAATTTAGGTAAGGCTCAGGATGATTAGATCCCCCGGCCTCTCCTCCTCCCCCGGTCTCTCCTCCTCCCCCGGTCTCTCCTCCTCCCCCGGCCGAGCCGAGTTGACGACCATTTTACAGTTCCCAAGCTTTTCCCAGACGCTCAACACTCAAATCCCCTACTAGATCTCATCGTCAGCTACATTTTCCGACCCCACATCGATAGGTTCTGATAAGCGGTTCTCGAGATTTCGAGCAATTTAGGCAACGCTCAGGGTGCACTACTATTAGAGAAAAATACGAAAATCTACCTTTTCAAGTAAGCATACCTGTGAACAATAAACAAATAAGCGTAGAGAACAAGATGACCATTTGACGACTTAAAGCCGATTGATTGACAATGGAGACACGGTTTAAATCGTGCTAAAGATTTTTGAAATTCTTTCTGTTATCTTAAACTTTTGAAAATCGTTACCAGCATTGCTTGAAGTTCACTTTTCGCTAGCCAACAATTGAGGAACACTGGCACAAACATGATTCGATATTCTTGGAAAAAACCGTCATGATTAGCGGGAAACTTGTGACCATTTCGAGGAGAAAATGCTTGTTCATCAGGACACGCCACACATTTCCCTGAAATCAATCATTCAACACCTTTAATGATCACTGACAGTCACTGACAGTCGATACTAAGCTTTTGGAGATGCTCTTTGTTAATTATTCTTATTGACTGTATTCTTATTGACTTTTTTTACGAATTTTCTTTTCGAATTAAACCTTGAATGTGATGTAGAAGATGAGTAGCGTTTCGGTTATGCTAATCGCTGCCACAAACGTTTGTGAAGCCCATAGATTCCATGAGATTTTAATCCAAAAAACGTCGTTACTGAAAAGAACATTTATTGATTCATTTTCCAATTGATATTATCAGCGATTTGTCAGCAAGACAGCGATTTGTCAGACTTTTGAATTGGTCTAGCTTTTTGGCACAATCATCATTGTCAAACATACTATATTATAGCGACTGTGCTACCCATATATTCTTGATGATCTTGAAGCTCTAGTGCAGCCTTGACGTTATCTGTGCTACCCATACAGTACTGGACAATGAAATATCATATTTGAAAAACGATCGACACTTTCGCGCCTCTGTAACTCCCTTGTCTTTGAGTTTAAACTATTAGTGTTATACATTTTCTGAAAGCTATTTTCAAGGGCTACACAATGATAATATTAATATTTAGAAATACCGTAAAGGCAAAGGAAGTTACAGACGCGCGAAGGTGACGATCTTTTTCAAATATGATATTTCATTGTCCAGCGATCACTTCAACTTAGCCTATTCACTAAAAAGCCGAACAAATCCACTCTCACCATAAAGCCGTTCCATTAGGCGGGAATTCGATTGGCGGTATCTTTGCGCCTGGATCGACGACTCCATCATCTTCAATCACCCTCACAATGTACAAAATACACGAAAGAACTTTGATGAAAAAGTTGAAGATTCGGATCCGAAGACCTAAAAAAAAGAGATTAAAGGGGAATGAGTTTAGAAAGATCTTTTGGATCTTTTGGAATTTTTAGAAAGATCTTTTGATTCTTTTAGAAAGATCTTTTGGATCTTTTAGAAAGATCTTTTGGATCTGGATCTTTCTAGGTAGGAATCCTGAATGCTTTAGCTGTAGCTGAAGGCTACTAGATCCATTATAGTTGCACTAGTTGCACTATCGAGTAATACGCACTGTAAAACATAGTAGTAAGTGTAATACAGTACTATGTAATGTACTATGTAATGTACTATGTAATGTACTATCTAACAGATTTTAAAAGAAAATTCACTATGAGTTGATCTTACGCTTTATGGTAGTGCACTTTTTTTTGGATCCAAACACAGAAAACACTTTATCTAATATTTATGGATATAAATTGTATCAAAAAAAAGAGTATATTAGGGTAAAAAAATAGCTGATTTTTCATAATCTGGCATTAGTTTTTCAAAAATAGCAAGTTTTCCAAGTGAAATTTCCATTCTGGATGCTAAATTTTGGTCGATATTTCTTGTTTTTGTTGATTTTTGTCTAAATTTCGTCCATATTTCTAGTCGATTTTGATTCCTTTTGGAAATAATTATACCGTAAATACTGTAATAGTACCCCACCCCCATAATGACAATGCGGAGCGTAGCTCTAGCTTTGAACGAGCTTTTCTCGACACTGGTTTATGCTACAATGTGCGTTTAGGTATCAAAAAATAGCCCTGAATTTCAGCTATTTTTTTTGATACCCAAGCGAACATTGTAGCATAAACCAGTGTCGAGAAAACTCGTTCAAAGCTAGAGCTACTGCAACAACTCCGCATCGTCATTATGGGGGTGGGGCACTATTATAGTATTTGCGGTAAGTTATTATTAATATAACAATCGACTAAGGTAAAGTTATTTAGTAGAACAATCTTTAAACTAACTCACTTGATGAGTGATTCTCAATGAAGTACTGCTGAAGTCTTGATTTGAAGCTCGTTTCAACTCCATATTGCATACGGGCTCTAAAAAGCAAAAGATTAAATCGAAAAAGTTTCTCAAATTCTTTAAATTACCAATTCTTAGACTTTAAAGTGGCTTTAAAGTGGCTAGGCTTTAAAAAAGATTAGTTTTTCATTGTTGTTTGTGCTTTTTTGTTTGTTGTTTGTTGTTTGTTGTTTGTTCTTTGTTGTTTGTTCTTTGTTCTTTGTTCTTTGTTGTTTGTTCTTTGTTCTTTGTTCTTTGTTGTTTGTTCTTTGTTCTTTGTTCTTTGTTGTTTGTTGTTTGTTGTTTGTTGTTTGTGCTTTGTTCTTTGTTGTTTGTGCTTTGTTCTTTGTTCTTTGTGCTTTGTTGTTTGTTCTTTGTGCTTTGTTCTTTGTTCTTTGTCCTTTGTTCTTTGTTCTTTGTTCTTTGTTGTTTGTTGTTTGTTCTTTGTTCTTTGTTGTTTGTGCTTTTTTGTTTGTTGTTTGTTGTTTGTTCTTTGTTCTTTGTGCTTTGTTCTTTGTTGTTTGTTGTTTGTGCTTTGTTCTTTGTTGTTTGTTGTTTGTGCTTTGTTGTTTGTTCTTTGTGCTTTGTTCTTTGTTCTTTGTGCTTTGTTCTTTGTTCTTTGTTCTTTGTTGTTTGTTCTTTGTGCTTTGTTCTTTGTTGCTTGTTCTTTGTGCTTTGTTCTTTGTTCTTTGTTCTTTGTTCTTTGTTGTTTGTTGTTTGTCCTTTGTTCTTTACATGATCTCTCGATGCTTTTCGTTCCCAGTTTGGCCTTGTTGCTTCATTAAGAAAAAGTGTTAAGGAAAATATAGAAATATATAGAAATATATAGTAAAATATAGTAAAATATCGATAATTT